GTAGAGAATCATTAGGTGCCTTGTTTATTGATTTGAAAATACTCCTCAGCTTCGGAAATCTTTGAAATTCATTTCTCATGCATGCTTCTTTTTCTCTCCTGCTTGTTTTGCTGTCATTTTCTTTTCATGGACAAGTGAGTTGAAATTGGGAGAGGTATTTTAATTGTGAAAACACAAGGAAGTTGGGGACGATGGTGGAGCATGTAGTTTAGATCGGTCTCGCTTATATGTTTTCTGGTGATAGGATTTGTAAGTGGATCGAGACTCATTTCACATCCACCTCATGCACTCTGAAACCATTAATTTCCATAATCACATAATGTTTCTGGGGGTTTTATTTATAGTTTGATCTTTTACTCTGTAATTTCATTAAGTAAATTTCCCTACTGATTCGATTCTGAAACTCGATTGAATTGTCTGCGTTCTTCCTTCCCCGATTCCCTCATTTCCTTCTGGCCCTTTTCTCTCCAGGGTGTTGGTTTGTAACTCTTAACTCTCCGGGCTCCCCTGGTCCTTGGAAGAAGCTATGCGTTTATTTTTGGTAAATGACAGTGATAATGAACAGATGACGGGGCCGATGGCTGCCTTGTGGTGGTGCTTTCATACTTGTAGAGTCAGAATCTGCTGTTTGAACGACCAGCTGTTTAATCTCCCTTGAACTGATGATCTGGTTGGTGCAAAAGTACTTCCGATGTTTTGGGTGGTTTATGCTTCCTCAGGGTTTTGATTTTTATAGAGGAAAACTGCTTGGCAAATGGGAGGCGTTCAATAAGTATTTGCTGAAAAACACGTCTTTACCCTGAACTTCTTTAATAAGATCATTGGAAAAGTAAAAAAAAAAAATCCTCACCCAAGAACATGTTTCCATTGATTCTAGAGAGGAAAAGAGAGAGGGAGAGAGAGGAAGAGATAGCTAGAGCTAGGCCAGTGATGGCGAACCTTTTGAGCTCGGGGTGCCAGCATTTTGAAAAACCCTAACTTAACTCTGGTGCCGTGTCACGTATAGAAATTTTTTGATATTTGCAACCATAGTAAAACAAAGACTTATATTTTTGATATTTATTTTATATATTTAAATGCCATTTAACAAAGAAAAAACAACCAAAAAAATGAGTTCGCGTGTCACCTCTGACACGCGTGTCATAGGTTCGCCATCACTGACCTAGATAGATCATCAATTGCTTCCTCCCTCACAAGCCCTAACCAGGGATGGAACCCAGAACCTAGGTGTGTGCCCTTCCTCCCTCAGACTGGTTTGTCTTGGGGCCTTTCGTCTCCGCGCCTCCTGTCTGTGGTCTGTCCCCACTTCCGCATCTGAGCTTCACCTGCTCCTCTCCTTTCTAGATAACGTTCCCTGTGGTAATTCGCCACCACAGTTCCCACTTTCACTTTTCTATGAGCGTCTCCCCGAATGGTATTTCCAGCCCCTCTCTCTTAGCTCCAGCCCTGCATTTATAAAATTGGTAACTGCATGCCAGATGCTTACCCAGCACAGCCTCCCTTAAAGTCAGGCCTCCCCGTGACTTACTTTTGTTAAGGGACCTGCAGCCGAGTGTCCCAATGGTTATGGGCATGGGTTTCGGGATCAGAGGGGACTGTGTGGGAATCCTTCAGGGCGCAGACCGCTGTAGACTGGCGCCTTCTCACTGGACAGAGCTGCATGTGGAAGGGGGTGGGGACACAGTAATAGCAAATGTGCTGCTGCTTTTCTTTTTTTAAATTTAAATTTAAATTTTTATTGGTATCAGAGAGGAAAGGAGAGGAGGGGGAGAGGGAGATAGAAACATCAATGATGAGAGAGAACATTTTCCTGCTGGTTTGGTGTGGCTCGCTGCATTGGACACATTCCTTTTTTCCTGTTAGCAGGACTTTCTACTTAACCTCAGCTTCATTTCCCAATGGGTTTGGATCTTTAGGGACCAAGCCCATGAGGACCATGAACCTAAGGGATGTAACTCAATTAGCTGTACGCGATTTACAATAGACTCCTAGGCTTCCCATTTGGAGAGGCTGATGTCTTGCTCTGTTTTTTCTCACATTGATCCGACGAAGAGTAAATGCGTTCTTTGGTCAGTGTTTCACCTTTGTCCCAGCTGCCATCAGTGGTCATTTTTTTAATGAATAGTTTTGTTACCTGGTATTTTGAAAGATTTTAGGGGAATTTGACTGTCTTTTTCTATCCCAGATCTTTTCCTTGCTACTTAAATTTGACTTGGTTTCAAGATGTCAAACAGTTTTCCTTATATGAAAGGTATGTTCATTAAAAGTAAAAGCTATATGGTTTTTACAATTCTGTTTCCAGGACACACATCATGCACGTATGTTCTCACCTGGTCTGTCCTTGCGTAGGCCCGTGCTGGCTCCTGCGGCCTGGGAAGCAGAGTTGCTGTGGCTTAGCCCTCGGCTCGGTCCTGCTACCCCACGCTGCCTCCTATTTACGGTCGGAGGCAGAACAAACACTGTGAGGTACTGACACCACTGATAACATCCTATGTGCGCCTTTAGGATGACACGGCCCAACGTGTTGTAAGCAGTTGATGTCAGTCATCTGTTTGACGGTGTTTTCCTTCATCATTTCATTTGAACTCGAGATCTTGGTTGAGGTAGAGTTGCTGAGGTTAGTTTGGCTTTTATTGACCATTTCGCCACATTTTTGGTTGGCCCTTCTTCCTGTCCTTGTTTTTCACTGTCTCTTATTTATTTGCTCTTAAAGTCCACTCCAGAGCAAAACTGTAATAAAAGCACGTAGTGTTTGTCATCCAGGGCAACACGTTCAAGCCTCAGCAAGTCGGATCTAATGATAGGGCTGCTTTCAGAGAGGGAGTAGACAGGCTCTTAAGGAGGATTGAAGTAGAGCAGTGGTTCCCAAACTTATTTGGCCTACCGCCCCCTTTCCAGAAAAAATATTACTCAGCCCCTGGAAATTAATTGTTTTTAAATTTTAATAGCAGTTACTCATCACCCCCAAATGCACCTGTGGCCATCACCGCCCCCCTGGATCGATGCAGCGCCCACGGTGGGGGGTGGGGGGTAGCGCCCACTTTGGGAATCACTGAAGTAGAGCGTCTGCGAACCTGGATTCGTTTCTCTTTTCTGGGTTGAAGGTGAAAGGGAAAGTGTTATTTACTCTGTTTCTGTGCTTGTTTTATTTACTCTCTGCCCATTTGCACTTGGAGCAAGACCACATTTATGTAAAAAACAGGAAAGGAGGTAGTAGGCAATGCAGGCAGCTCGTCTGTCTGGTCCCTGTAGAGGAAGTAGAACGGGGCTGAGAAGCTGAGTTGCATCTCCAGTTTTTTCATCGGCATTCGTTTTTTTCGAGGATGTCGTGACCGTTGAGAAGCAGCTTATCTTAAAATAGAAAGGGTCACAATGAACTGAGCCTTGCACTTTCCTGGTTTGTCCATGGTAAGGAGCCCCCTTCCCTTGTCTGATTGGAGCTTACGATTTGGGGGCTTTGTGGGTGGAGCATTTAGAGTAGAAGGGGCTTCAGAGAACATCTAAGGCAATATTGACCACTTTATTTTTTAAAAATATTTTTTTTATTGATTTCAGAGAGGAAGGGAGAGGGAGAGAGAGATAGAAATATCAATGATGAGAGAGAATTATTGATCGGCTGCCTCCTGGATGCCCCCTACTGGGGATCAAGTCCGAAACCCAGTTATGTGCCCTGACTGGGAATTGAACGGTTACCTCCTGGTTTATAGGTCGATGCTCAACCACTGAGCCAGGCTGGCTGGGCAGTACTGACTATTTTATATGAGGAAACTGATACCCAGTGAGCTGCCCAGGTTATGCGCCAGGAAAGTCAGCACCAGGAGAGAAGACGGGGCATCTCAGGAGGCAGGGCTTTTTTGTAATCTTTGTCAATTTACCAGTTTCTCCCAAAGAAGAAACGAGGGGCCTGTTTTTAAAGCACTTACCACGGAGACTTAAATTGACCAATTTTGAAAATGCACATTGATTTTGTCTGCTTTTGCAACCCTGGTAGGTAGATTCGTGAGTCAAAGGGAGTGTAAAAGTTCAAGTAATTAACTGTAGCGAGAAATGATCAAAATAGATATTGATTCTAGATAATCCTGCCCGTGCAGCCCCAACACTTTGAGAATTTGCAAGCTCCATATCCATACTGGGCATTACGGTGACTTAGGATATATTATGATTAGGTAGGGGATCCTTATCTTTGTGGCATTTTTTGGCTTGAGGGAATTCACATAGAATTAGAGAAAGTACATTTTATAACTATACTAGAGGCCCGGTGCACGGATTGGTGTACATGGAAAGTAAATTACTAGTAGAAGGTGGCTGGCAGGGCGGGACTGGGCAAGATGTGCTGGACACGCCCTGGAGCCAACCTCCTGTGGTCCTTCCCCGGCCGGCCACACCTGGGGCGGCGCTGGGGCTCGAAGGGGCGTCTGTGGAGTGAGCGGGGTCCCTCTGGCAGGTGGGGTCCCTCAGCCTGGCCTGTGGGGATCAGGCTGAAACCGGCAGTCCAACATCCACCAAGGGGTCCCGGAGTGCAAGAGGGCACTCTGCAAAGTTGCTGTTGCTCGGCAGCTCCTGTGTTGAGCGTCTTCCCCCTGGTGGTCAGTGCATGTCATAGCTACCAGCTGGTTGCTTAGGCTTTTATATATATAGAAGATGATCGCATACTTGTAATAGAATGCCTCTTTGAAATTTCTAAGTATATTTTATAGTAGAAAATAAGTTCTAGATAAAGGAATTCATTATGATATTTCTGTTTAGTCATTCAGTCTTATTCTATTTGATGGATATCACTACTTTAATTTTTTTCATTTTTATTTTTAAAAAGCTATGTTTTGGTAAGTTTTTGAAAATTTAGAAATAGTCATTTTATATTTCTGTTTTCCCTTTGGACATGTTAATGAAGTCAGTTCGGGTTTATTGGGCAGTTTCCCAATTCTGAATATTTTATTAAATTTAAAAAGAAAGCTTTCTGAGTCATGATATTCTCTCTCTCTCTTTTTTTCCTTTTATAGCCAACACGTATCTCTTTATGGTACAAGCTCGAGGAATAATGTTGAGAGAAAATGTGAAAACGATAGGACATATGATCAGGCTTTACACAAATAAGAACACGACAGTCAACGGTACAGGTAAGATTGCTTCCTGCGTAAGCTGGCTCTGCTTCTGCCTCTCAGCCTTGTAGTTACAAAGCAGTGACCCAGCCTCCAAGCTCTGGTTTTGCCTCCAGGTAACTCCCTGTGAAAGATGAGGGTGTCCCCTCCTAAGTGTCCTGGAAAATCCTTTCACTGCTCGAGCCAAGACTGTGATGCATTCTATTCTAGGATCTATAAAGGTCCGAGACCTATATAAAAGTGATGAGGGTTTTGTGCAAAGATACTCAGGTGAATTCTTGCAAACCTGAATTCAACAAAATAGAAAAGCAGCTTGTATTTTTCCAATTCCTTTGTATTTAAGACTAGAGGCTCGGTGCACGAAATTCGTGCATTTGGGGGGGGGGGAGTCCCTCAGCCCGGCCTGTGCCCTCTTGCAGTCCAGGAGCCCTCGGGGAGCGGGCCTAAGCCATCAGTCAGACATCTTTATTTTATTTTTATTTTTTAAAATATATTTTATTAATTTTTTACAGAGAGGAAGGGAGAGAGATAGAGAGTTAGAAACATCAATCGGCCGCCTCCTGCACATCTCCCACTGGGGATGTGCCCGCAACCCAGTTACATGCCCTTGACCGGAATCGAACCTGGGACCCCCCAGTCCGCAGACCGACGCTCTATCCACTGAGCCAAACCGGTTTTGGCAACATATAGATTCTTAATTTAATTTCACACATGCTTCTGTAAAATCCTTCCTAGTTATTTGCCAAATTTGTGTTATGGTCACCATAAATCAAAACATTCCTAACTGTCTTCTCTTTATTTTATTTTAGAAAGACTGTCTCATTACTGTTGATGCTTTATTTAGTGAAACTCTCATTAACTGGTCTTCTTCATTGGTCTTCTGAATAGTAGGGCAATTTTAGGAGAAGCGTATACATCTTAAGAGCTACTTTAGGACTTGTCCTGGTTGAATAAGTTGATTGTAAAGGTGTTCATTAACAGAGGTAGTAAGCATCTATACATTACTAAAAATCTGTGTATAATCAAGTTCTTTTCCTGGGGTAGGAGTTTGTTACGTGTGCGAATGTTAAGCATAAACAGGAGAGCTGATTGCTTGGGCAAGATGAACTTTCCCTCAACCCCCTAAAAGTGGGCAAAACAGGAAATCCTTTCCTCTTCCCACCAAGTCATCCTTTCAATAAAGACTGAATAGCCAATGCATACTTGGATTACATTTTGCTTACTTTTTTTTTTTTAAATCCTCACTCGAGGACATGTTTATGGATTTTTAGAAAGGGGTAGGGAGAGAGAGAGAGAGAGGGAGTGAGAGAGGAACATTGATGTGAGAAACAGTGGTCCATTGCCTCCTATGTACGCCATGAACCTGCAGCCTGTCGGTGTACGGATGATGTTCCAACCAACCGAGCCACACTGGCCAGGGCAGATGTTTATGAACCTTTGAAAACTCTTCACATGGGTCCTTCATTGGCAGTAAACTGTTCTTGGGAGACAGTCAGTCGTTGCATCAGTTAGGACTTGGATTTGGTTGCAAGAGAGACCCAACTGCTGTGCTTTAAACATATGAGGGCTCTGTTCCCTGTAGAAGAGGTTTGAAGTTGGGGGTGTGAGGGGGCTCTGCGGAGAAGGGCTTCACAAGCTTCCCATCTCCCCTCTGTCTGGAGCTTCCCATCCCCCAGGCGGCCAGGGCTCAGGCTCTGTGTGGGTGCTTGGTCAGTGGGAAGGAGGGAAGGGGGGAAGAGAAGAACGAGTAGAGTGCCCTGTGAAGAGCCTTCCAGGAAGCACACAGCATCTCTGCTGACATCTCAGTGGCCAGAACGCAGTCGTGAGGGCCTGGGGATTACGTCTTTGAGGGGGCCCCCTGGTGCTCTGGATGGAAGTCAGGTTCTGTGAGAGAGAGAGAGAGAGAGAGAGAGAGAGAGAGAGAGAGAGAAAGGGGAGAAAGCAAGTTGGTGTAGGCAACCATGAGCTCTGCCATTTTTATTTATATTGGACAATTAGTTCATATACCTACCTAGATACTGGGATACGACATTAACAGAAACATCCTCCCTTTATATGAGGCTTTGGGAGGGGGGGGAGGACATAGTTATAATGCAGTTGTCTATTTCTCTATGAACTTACACTAATATGATCTGCCAAAGCGGAGATCATTGCCAGTAAGATGTACAGAGAACTGACTGAATTCTAGGGGGAGAATTGATTGACATGCACTACCTCATTTAAAATTTAATACTTCCATTAGTTCTTAAAAGTTCTCATCGCAAGACAAAAAGTTGTAAGTATGTCTGGTGATGGATAGTAACTACACTTGTGGTAATCATTTTGCAACATATACATATATCAAAGCATTATGCTGTACATGTTAAAGTAATACAATGCTATATGTTAATAAAAATAATCTTCCTAATAATAAAAGGCTAATATGTAAATTGTCCCCTCGACCGGGAGTTCAACCGGGAGTTGGACCAGGGGGCAGGGGCAGCCAGGGGGGAGGGGCCGCAGTTGGTTGGCCAGCAGATTTGGGGCAGGGCCGGCCGGCCAACTGCCCGCAGCCCCTCCCCCCGGGCTGGCCCCCCCAACCCGATTGGGGGCGGGGCCAGCTCACCAACTGCCCGCAGCCCCCTCCCCTGGCCGGCCCAGCCTGATCGGCCCCAATCAGGGCAAGCCAGCCGGACCCCACCAGTGCACAAATTTGTGCACCAGTCCTCTAGTATAAAAATAAAATGTAACATTTAATGGCAAATAGGTTGTGTCAGTTATAAGTACATTTGATTTCAAAAAGGGGTTTTTGCCCCTGTACCTGACTTTCGGAAGCGTCACATGTAAATAGATTCCATGTAAAATATTTTCGTAAAGAAATCACACTCTCTCATAATCAAACGGTGCCTGGCCTTGTGGCTGCAGAGTCAGTCGAATTAAAAAAACAAGATGTACTCGGTGAGCGATGGCAGAAGCAGATGATGAGGGTCATGCACCGCTGGGGCTGGTGGGTTTGTTAGCAGTGACCCAGCGCACTTCCTTCCGTAACGGATGCATGTTCTGAGGCCCCCGGACACGCTGGTGGTAAACAGATTAGGACTCACTGGGTTTCTATTACCGGCTCACCCTGCCCTTTTGCCGGAAAAGCATGGTCCTGGCGAGTCTCCTTGGGCCCTGTTCCTTCCCCGTGAGGCCGGGAGGGGACGGGCAGCAGTTCCTCTGCGTGTCCCCTCCCCCGGGTGTGGCTGGGGAGGTGGACCCGTTCATTAGATGAAATAACGTCTCCGCTGCAGAGCAGCTGTGGGGACCCGTCTCGGTCACATCTGCCACGCGAACCCTTTAAAACCGACGTGGAAAGCGTGGTTCGCCCGGAGGGACCTCGCCTCTCTGAAGGAATAATGATTTTGTGGGTTTATTGCAGGAGAGTCCCTCAAACCTTAGGTCGTCGTTGGCTCTGGTGTCAGTTGTGAAGTGTTCATTTGCAGTCATTTTCCACTGTGTTGCCGGAACTTCATCAGATACTTAAACTCAGAGGGAGTTTAACTTCACAAAAGAGAGATTCAGACCAGTGGCCGGGGGTGGGCAGGGGGGTGACATCCGAGCCACCGGACACAGTGCTCGCGGAGCCCAGATGCTGCTACGAGCTGGGCAGTGAGTTGAGGGCTGTGTGATCCTTTATAAGCCTGTGGCCAAGAGAACATGTGCAGCTCCAACACTTTGTATTTAAGGGATGTGCAGAGACTGACGCTGCATGATTTTAAGGTGTTTTTAAAAAATGTGGTTCTTTAAAAACTGATAAAAGTGCTGCAGGGGTTCCTTTGTGAGAGTCAGTCCTTCTCACACGAAAATAAAAAGTGCGATACCCCCTGCCTCCTGTGGCCACGGACTCCCCAAGGAGCCGCGTTGGCAGCTGTTCGCAGGGATGTCTGGAGAGCTCACGTGTTCTGGGAGCTGGATGTGGATTTCCAAACGCACCGTGTGTGGCCAAGAGAGGGGGTCCAGGCGTTAATGACGAGAATGAATCAGTTCCAAGGAGTCAGGGCATGTCTTACTGAAAGTTAACTCATGACTCTGAGGATGCGTGAGGGGGTGACATTTATCTGCCTCAGGGTGATGAGCAAGTTGGTCTCTGGAGCCCAGAAAGGCAGTGACACCCAGGGACAGCCTGATCCACCGTCTGTCTTCCCTCCTGCAAGTGCACAGCGAGCAGCAGCTGCTCAGCCAGCAGAGCAAGGCCTCGGGAAGGGAAAGGAGGAAGTTATTTTGGGAATAACTTTAAATTTGATATCTGTCTAGATATATTTTTTCAAAGCCTCCTACGGAAAGAATCAGAACATTATTGGACTTCCTTATATTTGTGTTGTGTGTCTTTAAATTTCTCCGTCATCCGCGGGTGAGATGAGACGTAGGTGGGGGGCGACTCGAGGGGTGTCTGTGGCTTTAGTCTGTCGCTGGGCTCACAGGACGGTTGCTGCCCACTGAGTCCCCTCCCCTCCCCTTCGGCGGGAGGATTTTCCTCTGCCGTTTCCTGGGTGCCCAGAGAAAGGATTCCCTCCGGGCCTCCCCGTCCTGGTGGAACAGGCCGTAGCGATCGTCCCGTCACCCGTCCCTGTTTGCCACGTGGGCTTTCTGGCAGCACAGGCACGATGCCCTGCCGCGGTCCTCCCTGGCATTTCCGGGCCGTCCTTTAAAATCGGACCTTCTCCTCCAGCTTCCGTCTCTTCCTGGTCCTCATCAGCCTCTGCTTAGCAGCCTCTGGGCCCTCCCAGCAGGTGGCCTGGAGTGGGCGGCGTCTCTGCTCCCAGTGCCACCCTGGCCCCCAGCTGCATCCCCCCTAATTCCGTGTTGTTGTAGTTAATCCTCACCAGAGGATGTTTTTCCATTGACTTTTGAGAGTGGGAGGGAGGGGAGGGAGAGAGAAACGTTGATGTGAGAGAGACACATCAACTGGTTGCCTCCACAGGGCAGGGGATCGAGCCTGAAACTGAGGTACATGCCCTTGATCGGAATCGAACCCGGGACCCTTCAGTCTGAGGGCCAACGCTCTACCCACTGAGCCAGACCGGCCAGGGCCTGGTAATTCCATGTTGATGATCAGTGAATGTTTGTGTTAGGCAGAGGTGCACAGAGAGGTGTTTGGTTTTCTTGGACGCTTCTCACGTACGTGCTCCATATTCCGTGTCCAGGATTCTACCTTTTTCCACAGTGAGGGGGTGGCGTGGCCTGTTGAGTAAGATAGAGGATTTGGACCTGCAGCCTCTGGCTTGCTGGTCACTGACAGGCCACACTTTTTAAAAAATATATATTTTATTGATTTTTTACAGAGAGGAAGGGAGAGGGATAGAGAGTTAGAAACATCGATCAGCTGCCTCTTGCACACCCCCCACCTCCTGCACACTCCCCACTGGGGATGTGCCCGTAACCAAGGTACATGCCCTTGACCGGAATCGAACTCGGGACCCTTCAGTCCGCAGGCCGATGCTCTATCCACTGAGCCAAACCAGTTAGGGCACTTTTTTTTTAAAAAAAAAAATATATTTAATTGATTTTTTTACAGAGAAGAAGGGAGAGGGATAGAGAGTTAGAAACATTGATCAGCTACCTCCTACACACCCCCTACTGGGGATGTGCCCACAACCAAGGTACATGCCCTTGACCAGAATCGAACCTGGGACCCTCCAGTCCGCAGGCCGACGCTCTATCCACTGAGCCAAACCAGTCAGGGCGACAGGCCCCACCTTTAAATCAGAGGCCTGTTCCTCCCTCTCCGACCTCCCTCACGCAGCAGTTCCGTAGGAATCTCGCGCTCAGAGCAGATACTCCAGATGGAATGAGAGTCTTTACATGTTCCAGAAGTTTCTGCCCGAGCTTCATTCCCTGCAGGCCCAGGAGACTGAACGTAGTGTCATCAGCCATTTGCACCTCTCACCTCTTGCTCCCTGCATGTGGGGCTCATCCCCTTAGGCCGGCTTCCTCTCACAGGGCAGGGCCCCGGCAGGTCGGACGTTCGTTCCAGGAGGAGGCCGACAGGTGATCTCTTGGCTCCAGGTACAAAACTCCTCAGGCTCCGGCTGTCCCCGTCTGGGTCCGAGCTCACCTGAGCCCGCCACTCCGAGCTCCCTTAGTGCATCTGTCTACGCGCTCTTAGCACTCAATTCATTTCTCTGACTGAAATCGGACACGGCCCCAGGAGGTGGGCACAGGGGAGCAACCATGTTACCTTACCCTGCATCACCACGCTGGTGTGTGTTGAGATCAAGGATTTGAACTCAGCACTTGACCTTGGGGCTCTGGACCGGTTCCCCCTGCGTTACAGCTTGCTGAACCTGAAGAGAGTGGACCTACTGTGGTAACAGCTCGGGCTCCCCAGGGAGCAGCCCGGGGCTGGAAGTGACTGACGTAAAGGTTTAAATTGGGCCGTGTTACAGAAGTGAGTTGAGGGGGTAAGTTGCAGTCCCCTGTGCGTGGGTGGTGAGAACGCGCTCCCCCAACGCCTGTGCTCCGTGGGTGCTCGAAGCCGTGCCTGTCTGTGTGGTCGTCCGAGCACCCCTGGCTGTTGTGGTGGTGAGGATTCCTGCGTCCCTGGTGTACGGTCATCACCGCCCTTTCCATCTGGTCAGCCAGGGAGGGGTGGGAGCAGGTGTCCCATGCGGCCACCAATGGGCCTGTATGGCTGCGCGAGGGTCAGGCCGGCTGCTCTCTGGGCCTGTCCCAGGGTTCCCTGGGGACACCTTGCTGAGAGGTGTCAGTGAATGATACATGGAAGAGGAGCCATGGCAACCGAATTTTGCTTTTCACTCATTCTTTATAGGAAACTAGAGGCCTGGTGCACGAAATTCGTGCAGGGGGGGGGGGCGGTGTCCCTCAGCCAGGCCTGCATCCTCTCGTAATCTGGGACCCTCTGGTAGGATCTCTAGGCCTGGCCGGTGATCAGGGCCTATCAGGACTTTCCTCCCCCCAGCTGCCAGCAGCTGACCCCACCCTTGCTGCTGCCACTGCTTGCCATCTGTGTGGTGCTCCCCCCTCCCCCCCGCCACCAGTTGCCTCCCTCTGTGGGCAACAGGCATGGGGTGTGATTGCTTGGCTGGCCAGGGCCTCCCTTTGCAGGGCGATCAATCGCGGGGCCCCCAGATCGATCGCCCCACAGAGGGAGGCCCCGCCCACCCACCGCAGCACTGCCAACTGGGTGGCCTGGGCCTCCCTCTGCAGGGCGATCGTGGGGTGATAGAGGGGGGCCCCCCGACCAATCGCATTGCACCCACCTTGGCTGGCCTGGTGCCAGTGCGTGTCATGGTGTGGTCGTCCGGAAGGTCATCTGGACGGTCATTCTGCTGTTCGGTCGTTCAGTTGATTTGCATATTACGCTTTTATTATTATAGATTCCTTTTAAGTGCTTCTGTAGATTGCATATTGCAGATTTTCTCACAGTGACGGTGACATATTTCAAACTAGAAGCAAAGCCAAAGGCAGTTTTTGGTTGTAACTTTTTTCTCTCTCTCCAAGATTATCCTGAAGGCAGTAATTCAAGTGATTATCTTGTCCAGACAACAACGTATCTTCCGGAAAACTTCACATACTCTCCATACCTCCCCTGCCCAGAAAAACTGCCTTACATGCGTAAGTGTCACTAATTTGACTTAACTGTTTGCTTGTAACTATGATAAAATAATAAAAGTCACGTGATGTGAGCATGCCAGGCGCACATCATTACTATGGTGCTGATGCTCATACTGTGTAGCATGCTGTTCAATTTTTTTTTTTTTTTTTTTTTGGTTAAGGATATTTTTGGAGAGGGAGGGGGATTAAAAAGCTAAAGAAAAAGCTTATCCCAGCAGTAACCTCTATTGTGAGTTCGATGTGTTTTCT